ATATCGCACTGTTGAAGCAGCGCTGCGAGCAGCTGCAACACAAAAAGTATCAGAACCGCTCACGGCGCATGCGCGCGCAATCCTGCATCAACGCCGGTTGCTCGCTATTTCCCTAATAACACACGCTGTTCGTTTTTGTTTCTACACGTTTTTTTACTCACATAGATTGTCAAGAAAGCGTGTTTGTCGTGTTCATGTCAAATTAAACTGATCACAAAACACAGATTTACTCTCTTTATTTCGTTTTCCTCATCCAACCCCCATAAATCCCTGTGTGTCCTCCTGCAGCACTCCCTAAGGACAACAGGCAAGACAAGACAAAAAAGTCTGACGTGTTGAGTAAAAACTGCTATTTTTAGCACATTTTTAGGGCCGACGTGTTGCTACCAGACGTACAGTGTGAGCAGTCAGGTCGCATCCTAGAACTGGGTCGTACAGTGTGAGCACATGACTCGTGAGATCTGCTCTGCGAGGAAGTCGTACAGTTTGAGCTGAAGCTGAACGCTGCGAGTGAAAAAGTCGCACAGTGTACGCCCGGCTTTAGGAGATTGTTTTGGACTGCTGCTGTAAAAAAGGTGAGGCCAATCCCAATGCGACAACGGATTATGAAAGAATGGATAACGCTTGAAATGCGCAGATTATTCCTGATGTAAGAGACGAGTCTACTCTTTGTTTTGGTAGTTTTGGCGTTGATGTCATCCTAGCACGCAATGTTCTGTGACTCTTAAAAAAAACTGTGAAAATGCAGAACAAAGCTGGCAGTGAAGGGCTTTTCTGATCAGGAAACGGCCGCCAGTGTTCTATGTAGAACAGTAACTGAACAAGTGAGTGTTAACACAGGTCACACACGTGATGTCAGAACATTTTTTCGTGGGCAGTGATGTTGAAAAATCTTAAACCCTGGTTCTTTACAAGCACATGCTGACAAAGAATTTTCAAACCTCCGCTTGATTGGAGGTTTCTGAAATAACCTTTTTTTTATGTAGTTTATCATCACTTCATAGAAAAATATCTTAGTTTTGCTGGATGACTGGCTACACGCTATGCATGCACAGGGCCTTAGTGTTAGAATCTGTCCATTCTCTGCAACAGTTGGGGGTATTCCACCTTCATCCAGTAGGACAGAAAAGCAGGAACCTGTTTAGTGTTACTGTAAGTCCTTTGTTTAGAAAAATGATTTACTTGCACCTTCTGCAACAGTGTATGGCAGACTGCCCCACTGACTGACATCTGTAGCAGTGAGTAGCCCTACCTCACATTGTTTGTTGTCCAATAGCAAGCGGCAGAGATGGGAATTGTGGCTTCAACAAGTCATGTCCATGTCGTGTTTTGTTCTGCTCAGCAACAAAACAAGGCGATTTCAATCAGCACGGTGAATGAACCTGGTTCAGCTGCTGAGCAGAACAAAAAGACGACATGGAGATGACTTGTTGATGCCACAATTTCCCACCTATGGCAAGTGAAGACAACCGTAGATTCCACTGCATGACTGAGCTCCATCTATGGGTCGTGGCCAGACTAAATATTTACGTATATAGGAAAGCTTGCCAGACTATGGTCAGCATGGTGTGGTTCTTAACCCAACCAAGCTGTTGCAGGATTACCTTTACGGCAAGTTTACATTGGGTATACTTTGGCTGAATAAATATCTAGTTATTTAGAAGTCATTAGGTTCAAACTTTGCCCTTCCTAATTTTTTTTCTTTTTACACAAAAACATTGAACATAAAAAAAAGAGATGTAATCAATCCATGCAGTTCTCCATTGCACCTCTAGGAGAATTTCTCCAGATAAATACTTCTTGAGAATTAGTGACTTTGCCACGCATGAATCATACACCACACAGGGCAGATGGTAGCCATTACAGTACAGCAATGTCTCTACACGGTAATAAGATCACACACAAGGGTGGATCAAAAACTGTGAGGAGATGATGATTAAAATTAGGTGGTAATCATTTCACCAACAACACAGACAACGTGATTATTTCAAAAGGTGATGAAAGATGATCTTCAAAAAGGGCAGCCAAAGCAAAAAACTTGAGAATGAATGTGAGTAGCCTTTATTTATGCAGAAAATCATATTTTTAACAAAAAACTAAATTTATCTAGACATTTTTTATTAAATAAAAAATATGGGAATGAGATGTTAAAAAAAGAAAACATGTCTGAGAGGCTGTTTCTATTTAAAACACCAAGCTCCCCCAAATCCCCTCCTTCTCCTCTCTCTTGCTCGCTCTCTGCCAGAGGCCTTGTTTAATTGGCACAGATTCTCCCCGACTCCCAAACAAAATCGCTGCCTAAGTGTTTCCACTCTGCTACCCCTATCATGCCCTTACAGTAGCACAGCTCGTAGGGGAGCTTAGCACAATTTTTCTCTAGAAGTCTGTTCTCGCATGGGACACAGAAATACCAGTGATTGACTCATCTTAAGTGTCTACAATGACTAACATCTCAGGAGTCCAAGTCATAGACAGCACAGGAAGCTTGAGGCTTAATTAAACCTGAATGGTCATATAATGTGAGTCAGCCAGAGGGATACTGTGCAAAATTCTTGTTCTGCTCCTCACAAACAGACCAGTCTTTGTTTGTGAGGCATTAGTCGAGCGGATGCGAGTCAGGCATTCTGCTGCAGAAGCCAGTGTGCCTCCGTCTTCCTGCTCAGTCTCAGAGGTGTTGAGAACTTCCCAAAGCACATTCCAGTCGAAGATAGACACAAGGAATAACAGTTCAGCGAGGACTTAGGAATTCAAAGTGGCTCCCAGGGAAAAAGTCATCTACTTATGAAGGCAGTATCAGATTGGAGCGATTTAGGGAAACATTTCAAGAATAAATAAATCCAGTTTTCTTAATTGCATTGATTCAGGCATCCTAAAAGTGACAAATTATTTCTTTATTAAATTATTTCACAGATACTAAAGATTCCTAAAGTCTTATATATACACGGTTACTGAAAAGTAGTTCCCATTGCTGCACACCGCATTATACTGGGAAAGCCACATTTGCTCCACCCCAGACAAAACGGGCCACTTGCGCACAAACACACACACACACACACACACACACACACACACACACACACACACACACACACACACACACACACACACACAAAAAGACTTTGGCTTTGCAAAGAGCCTGAAAGTTTTTTGGCAGGTCACCACCATTTCTAAATGGTAAACAATATAGAGGGTATTTTTAGGAGACACTTGGCCTCAATTTGATACTCTAAAGTCCTTTGGTCTATTTTAGGTCTGGTGCTGCATGAACGAAGACAACTCACACTCCACCTTCATAATAAGGCTAAAAAACCACAGAAGATTGTCTCAATATGTTAGTGTGGGAGTCTACATGTGTCTGTGCTCAAATTTGCTGAAGAATTCTCAACAATGAGAAGAACACATGGCCAAGGACAAAACCAATGCACTAAAACCATTGCCTCACTGAAGTGGTAAAATATTAAATCTAATACCGGTTCATAAAAACAGAGATGTGTTTAAGCAGTTTTTGATGAGGTCATGACATCTGATGTGTGGTTTTATTTATTTCCCTTGACAGTAGTTGACCATTTTTAAAAATAATTGCTGTACATATGACAGACAAATTCCCCACTATCATTAGAGGGAGTGAAACGTGGATTAGACCAGGCCAAAAAGAGAAGATAATGGTAGATTAGCAGATGGATCTGAGAAAAAAATGCCCTTTTAGTCGATTCAGAAATGAAGAGGAGGAAGCTCAACAAAAATAAACCATTTATGCAGTCACAGAACTCTCTCCAGCCCTTTGAAAGAGAGAATTAAAATTTTCCATCACTATTTAAGTTAATGCATTCTGTGGCTGATTCCTCTGTTAACTTTAGTCCAAATTCAGGATATAACTATCATTTGCAGCAGACGCAGACAGCTTCTTCACAGGATAAAATAGAAAATATTAATGCAAATTGTTGCTGAAGTGAAATGGAATTATTTTACCCTGCTGTGTTTTTAATGAGCTCAGAGTTTTTAGAAATGTTGTGCAGACGCTTACTTCTTCATCCCAGCACTGATCAAGAATATAAAACTGGCTCAGGAACCCCTGCAGGAGCTTTGATACAAGAAGAAGGTGTTGTGAAGTTTTCCGCCTGTTGAATGAAGTTCACAAAACCCACAAACGACTCGAGATGAGTTTCAGGTAGAAATAAATGTCCCAATTTCCTTTGATTTGGTGAATTGATTGATTGATGAAACAAACAAACAAACAAATAGATCCATTCAATAAACAGATGTGGAAGAAAACCCTTAAATACCAGTAAATAACTCACCATACCCTTAGAAAAACCGAGTATTCATGGACGTTAACATTAAAGCTAGAAGTATTTTGAGATGCTGCACTAACAACCACATTCAAAGACATAATATTTTAGGAGAAAATAGTTCAACAACATATCCTCCTAGTTTCCGTTTAACTTGACCTCACTCATCTCCTGAGTAAAGAACAGTGAAACTGCCAAGACAGCTGAAACGTTATGTAACATAAAAGAAGAGTAACCAAAATGAGAAGCCCCCACAGTTGTAGGTTTTAGGAAGGTAGAAAGAGAACCCACAGCAAAGAAAGCCTGTGGAAAGACTTCCTCCCACATGGTTAGGTTTGTGATTAATGTTATGCCAGCTCATCACCACAGAGTAGGCTGCTGGACCCACGAGGAGATAATAGCAGCTGGTGTTGCACAGCCTCATTAGAACAAGGAAGTGCTGCAGCTCTTGCTGTAGTCCAAGCTGGTGACCTTAATCGGTCTGAGCATGCAGAGCTGTTGAAACAGCTCATACATCTGTAGGGCTCAAAGGCTGTAGCAGAAACTGAACCATGCCGCAGGCTTTAAAACTGAATCAAACTGCCACGTTAAACTGTCTCAGCTGTGAGGGAGTCAAAGTAACTGGCAATGATGCACTGATTTAAAAGGAAATGAGGACAGTTTTACTTGAAACACAGTGGCTTTAAGAAACAAGTAAAGTGGATGATGTACCTGTGAAGAGTTTGGTAATGGCCTTGTTTTGTCGTCGTGCAGAGCAGATGAGCAGCAGCCAGGGAGGCAGGAAGTCATGGTGACTGGCCAGGAGCTCAGCAATGGTCCTGGGAGAACCAGGGGAGGACCTCTGCTCCCCCTCACCAAGCTGACAGCCTTCATCAATAGAGTCCACAAGCAGGAACAGTGAATGCTGAGGTGGCTTCACACTCAGGAGAGGCAGGAGGACACAACTGAGGAAAAGATGAGAAACGAAAAAGAGGTTATTGTATTTTCAGCATTCAGTTGTTCAGATGTTCACTGCTGAAAACCAGTTACCGTAGTCACCTATTCTTTATAAAAGTCATATTTTCTTTAATACTAGTACCTTACTAGTACTAGTAGCCTACACTGTAAAAACCCATAACCAAGGGAACTCCAGACTAAATGATGTAAATGTAATACAATCTCCAACTGATAAAATGAATTTTCACACACCAAACTCCAACTAAGAACCAATTCAAAATCTCTTTTATGTGTAACTGTACTGAAAACCGGCCTAAACCAGTCTGTATATTTCTTCTGCATTAACAAAATAAAAGCCAAATAAATAACTATGATGCCCAAATGGATTATCATCATCTTTTTTGCATTTAACCTCCTAGGGCCCTGTGTCCACATATGTGGACATTGGATCCTTGCATTTACAAATATTATTATCTTCTACTATGACCATTTAGTTATTATTTAGACACTTGATATTGACTGAAATATCTGTAGCCGTCTTTCTTTTTTAGGATATTTGAAATTTTTATTTGATTTTATTTTCATTCTATTTTAATATTTGTAATTTTGTTTCCGTTAATTAGTGTTGACTAATCTGTAATAGCTAGATATGTATTTTTATTTTTAAATCACACCAAATACAAGTTTGGGTCACCGGAGGTTAAAGAAATCTAAACATTGGAATGCAAGCGTTTAAATTCTCAGTTAGCCCAACAGCCCATTTAGCTAACGGCGTTAATGAAAGATCAGCATATTTAATGGGTTTTTAAAAGAATAATCTTATAAAAATATTTCCAATAAGTGGCTGATGTAAACATCAATCTAGACTTGATGATCAGGGAGTAAGAATTAAGCATGTTTATGTCATTTAAATCTGGTATTGTATCATTTAGTTTTACCAATTGATCCAATACCTTACTTGATTGTTTGTGTTTGCATGAAAAATAAAGTTGAATTCTGATAAATTAAGAATATTCATAAGAGGAAAAAGACTTTTCTTAGGGCCACATAATCAGACTTAAAGGAAAAATATACGACCATCCAACTAAAAATGGGTTCCTTTGTACACAAAATAATCTACGTTAAAAGAAAAAAACCCAAAGCATATAAAATCATTTTAATTCTGTGAGCTTCGACTGGGTGCCTCATACCTAAACATGAAAGCAGGTTTATGAATCTAAGCCAAACAGTGTTCCCTGCAACATTTATGTTAATGCTTGAATATTTATAGCTAATAAACCAGCCCAGTAGCACCTAGTGATAAACACGACGTGTAGCATTCTGTTTAAACACACCAATATGCAGCTGAGCACAAAGATTTTTAATGCCACATTAAACTTTTATCAGCAGAAAACTGCAACCCAGACATGTTATCTGCTTCCTTCAGAACCAATAAATAGCTTCTTGCTTAAACTCTCAATAAATGAGGATACCAAAGGAAAAAAACAGCTGTTTATAACTTCAGTGTAGTCATGTTTGTGCTGTTCCACTGAGACGGTTTAAAAACCATTAGGAGGGTTTCACTCCCCAAGAATCATAAACGTACTTTCATCTCAGCGGGTTGTGATTAAGAATCTGAAGATATCCAAATGGTGACATTTTAATCTGCCCTTCGGTCAATTAGACATTTAAAACCAAGTGGAACAAATGAATTTATTGACAAGAAAACTTGACTTGAAGCAGACTGAGCTGCAGGGCTTTTCTGGCTGCTCTCAAGAAGCTGGCACGCAGATAAAAATCTGTCACCTTATTGATGATAGGATGCTTCCTTTTACAGCCACTCTGCCTTAATGGAACCAACGCCGCTTGTAAGCTGTGACACAAAACGTCCAAACACTGATTTAACTAGAGTTCTGCATGCTCACCAGTCCATCACTAACCCAGTGGACCCAACGCATTTCTTTTTTAATCATTTCAGACTCCAACAACATCATCCTCACGAACACAGAGAGGATTTCTGTATAATTTCAGTCCAAAATATCTAAGAGGCCAATTTTATAAATGTATTATTGAGATAACTGCACTCACCGACACTATTTGCTTGAATAAATTCAGCAGACTCTGCCTCATGATACTAAACAACCCTGGCACAATTTAATGCAGTGCACCAACTTTAATAAACTATTTACTATACAAGAAATGCCCACATTTTTATAGTATAATAGTGGAAAATCTCAATACTGCAGACATTTGTATAATAGTGTTCAACAACTACTAGATTGTATTATAAGGATAAAAGCTGCACTACTGTATACACTTTTTTTATGTATTTTATTACTAATGCTATCAAATAGGTGAGTGATGTTCACCCCCATTATAACCACCACACTGTAAATTGCATTTACGCCTTTTTGTTGTCCCAACATTTGATTTCATGTTAATATAACAAGGCTTTTGTATTGTTGTTGTTATAAATTAGAATAATTAGTTAAACACATCTCAACAACACTAAAAATGTTAAACAATAATTTTATGTCCAGTCAAATAAATTATCCAAGTCTACTTGACTTTTGAGCATTAAAATATATGTCCACTGGGTGGCGGTAAGTGGCGCAAAGTTTGTTTCGCATGTGCCTATGATGACGGAAGAAGAAGTCAACGGAGCTCTCAGCTCAGTCAAGCAGTCTTTCACGCGTGCAATGTTCTGTCCAGAAGGACTAACGACTCCATTTAGGGTTAAAACCAACTACTTTGTCCATCTAAAGGTGACACTGAACCAGTTCAACAGAGGCCCACCACTTTGGTAAGTTTTCTTTGGGTTTATGTTTAATTTGAATTTGTTAGTTGTTAAATAGCATTAGCTTGATTAGTTATAGTGAAATGAATAAATAAAAGGTCTGAACCTGAAAGTAAATCGTGTAATTCTAAGTTTAATGTTGAATGCAACTTAGTATATCTTATATTTGAATGTTAGAAGTAGGTAACTCGCTGTTTGTTGGTTAGCATAGCAGGGTTGGCGGGGAAATTGTTTTGGGAAATGTTTACTTGGTAACACGTTAATTAACCTTTTTTCCGAAAATGTATACTCATAAAATTAAGCTAAATGCTCAAAGCCGGGTCCACATGTGCGCATCTGTGGCGCGAAACAGCAGCGGAATCTCGCAGCATCTCAGCCGTTCTCCTCGCTAAACTCCATACGTCATGTGACCCTCAGAGAGTAGACGCCATGCGTTTACTTCACACTTTAAAACCGAATAAATTGTTTTATATAGTCAGTATTCATTTAAATAATGAAACAGAAATAATTAATCAAAATATTAGGTGATACTTGCAAGTTAGTTCTGTGAAATGTTGACCTCATTAATCATGAATTATTTACCTAAGTTTTACCTATTTCAGATTCTATTTTGAAGGTGCCCATGATGAAAAGGCCTTTTACACCGTATGAAGTGGACCTGTAAACTTGGTACTTTTTTCTGTGGAAATCGTAAGTGCATCATTGAACCTTATCAAAGCAATCACAGACATTACGGCAGAACTTGCCCTTTGCCCTTCATTTACAATTACTGCTCACAGTATTTCAGATCCAAACAATCCTTGCATGTCCATCTGAGAGATCATGGACTCAATGAAAACACTAACGGACTAATAAGCTTTAAGGTAAAATGTTTGTTGTTGTAAAATTAAAATTGTACATGTGTTGCAAGTTGGCAACAAGATTTTTTTTTTTGTTCTTGAATGTTTCTCAGCCTGGTATTTGGAGCACCTTCATTGTTACGAATTCTGCAAGAAAGATCCAGATCAACTGATGGCCACTGAACCCAGTGAACTGAACCACTACCTTCCACTGTCATCCTACGCTGTCCAAGGCCGACTGGTGATTTCTCCAAAGGTGTTTCTTGTACATTGAGGTGAGTTATTGTATTTTGGCTATTTTTGTTCTTTCTCCAAATGTTTGTCACCCTAAAAGTAGTAAATGGAGCTCAACTACTTCCATGAATGGTGTCAACATTTATTCATCTCTGAGCCATTGGATGGTACTTAATGATACAAGACAGTACTAAGAGCTCATCACAAAAACATGTTTTTGTAAGCTGAACCTTGTAAAATTTTAGCAATATTGTCCACAGACAACCTTGTAATGTAGCAAGTTGGTGAAATGATGGACATCACATTCCCCCTACGAAGAAAAGAAATAGTTGAAAATCAACCTCTTGCGGCTGAAGTCAAAGAAAGGTGGCCAGCCCTGTTCAAAGAACAGCAGGTACATTTCGATTTTTCTCTTTCACACATTTGTCAACTTTTTGTCTTTTTTAAAAAGTTGTTTAAAGTTGCAAATTTTGTTGTTGTCACCTTCAATTACAGATTGAAGCAGAGTTTGCTCGGCTGACATCTGTTGACCTCAAGAAGTCTTTCTTCAGTGGACTGGATCAGCATTTGCCAAGGTTCCTGGAGCTGTTCAAGGCCAAGAGTGGGAAATCAGCTGGACTAAGCAGGCAGCTTAAATGTCTTGATGACGTAAGCAAATAAATGTTCACATATTTTTGTTAGTATTAGTAACATTTCCTTTGGAGATTATTTACAGTTTTACCGGTTTTCAGTATTTAACAGTATTTTCTATTTTCTAATACAGAGAAGAAGAAAATTATGTTAACATTTTGTTGGGTTATTGTCTTTGGGTGAATAGAATTCAGTCATGCCTTTTAGGAAATCCATCAAATTGAAATTATCTTTGAAACAATCTGCCTGTGTAAATTTAGCAAAAAAAAAAAAGCATGTTTCTACACAAAATTACCACAACCCCAGTAGCTTTCCTATAGTGATAGGTCAGAGCTGGAAAAACTTATCAGAAAAATTCTATTCCAAAAGCTATAGTATTTAGAATAAAAAAAATGGCTAAAGGCTGCCAAATCCCCCCTCCCAATAAAACAAAAACAGAAAAACTGTCAGTCAAAACAAATTCTGTAGCAGACTTCTATTGCAGTACAGGTTTGTAAGAAGAATTTGAAGTGAAAATGTCCAACTAATCAATTGAGTATAGAAAACAGAATAAAAGAATCAGGATATCAATAATTTGTTATTCTCTTTATAATTAGTTGTTTTGTCTTTGTTTTTTCTCAGTCCTCTATGCTGAGGCAGAGGTCAGTTGTTCTTCCGGTGCCTTCTGTATATTCTCAAGGATGATCCTTCAAATGCATTCAAGACTGTTCAGGTGAGCATTTGTATCAAAAATGATCTGTGAACAATTTCTTTATAAGTGAAAGTAGTGATGTGATATTAGATGTAGTTATATAAAGAAGTGTTTTAAAGCCATACTATGCAACTTTTTCACATTATTAAATCACTTTCTGGAGCCAGTATGTGCTAAAATGAACCTTTGCTGGGGTGATGAAATGTCACACAGACCCTAAAGCTTGGTTTATGCTTGACGCATTCACTTTCCGCACGGTGATGCGGCTCGCGGATGGAACACGCTTCACAACTCGCAGCGTTTATGGTTCGTGCGGCTCGTCTCTGCGGTGAGCCAATGTTCTCCCAAACTGTAGGGGGCAGCATGGAGCTCTACGGCATGCATCCAACACTACACCATAGTAGAAGTAGAAATCACTGTTTACAACACGGCATTTCAGCATTTTTAACAGCGTCCTCGTCTTTTCCGACAGTGCGAGCTATTTCTCTCCAAGAATTATTAACAACAAGTTGATCACGGTGATCTCTGAGAGCTGAATCATACAAATGTCTGTATTTATGAACCTCTGCCATATTGGTTCTTGCCGGTCCGCCATGTTTTTACGCGTCCAACCGTCCGCGTGGTTAGAAATTTTCCTAGGTGCGCGTTGCGGAAATTTTGGGCTGTGTGGAGATGCGGTGGAGGGGCCTGGTTGTTAAAATGACGCAACTTTTCCACGCGGAGCTGTGCGGACACGTCAAGCATAAACCAACCTTTACCGCCCTCTGTTCTGCAGCTCTCCTCAATGAGAGGGGGGATGGGGGCGTTGCACACGTTCCGCTGCTGTTTCTCACCAGTATCAGCTGATGGAGGACTCTAGCTCCGTTGTGCCGTTCGTGTCAGCGGACACGGTCGGGGAGGGGGGCGGGGCATGACGCTTAGCCTGGCGGGTGGGCAAACAAAGCCTGCTAAGCGCTGGGGGAAACCCTGAAATATGAAAAAGTTGCAAAGTATGCCTTTAAAAGGGCAAACTCACAGCGAGGAGATACGTTTCAATTCTGCTTTGACCACAGACAGACACCAGGGGGCACTAAAAACAAGCAAAACTGCCTAGTCTCCTTTTAACAAGGTTGTCTGTAGAATTATCCAAATATTGCAAGGGGTCATAGTGAGAAATTTGCTTTATAACTTGTGTAGGCCATTGACGAGGAAGCCACATTCACTCGGGGAATGCAAGTTGGAGTTCTGCTGGTGAAAGATGGAGAGGACATCATTGCCACATCAGTCATTCTTGAGGAACAAGTGGTCCTGCCTGATGTGGAGGACATTCCTCATGCCATTGCTCTACTGATGGGTCTGCTTTTTGCCTTTAATATAGACTATCCAAAGGAACTCAGGTACACATTTGAAGTTTTTCAAAAGGTCCTGATGAACATCGGCGGAGGTCAGTGTTCCTCCCTTGTGCATGGTTTGAGAAACAGACTGTTACAAAAAACCATGTAGATTCTCCTGAAATGTCTCATCTCATGACTCATGGATGTCTGAGCTTTTTGAAAGCATTCAACGTTTCCTGTTAAACATTGTTCCAAAGGTCATATAGAAGTTTGGCACATGGTTTGGAATTCTTGTTTTGTTATTTCATCTGTTTAGGTTTATTCCATCAGAAAATATAGTCATATTGGTTCAAAGCCAATCAAATGCATAGGTTGATAAAAAGTATTGCAATAAAGAGGTCAACATAAGACCAAACGATAGATGACAAGATTAAAATGTGCACTATTTGTTTAGAACTACTATTTTGAATA